GCCCATCATACATTGGAGCAGATGGTTTTAATTGGTGTGCTCACCTTCATGAGCATACAGATCTCCTCTTATACATCCATGGAAAGACCAGAAGTGCTCCAGCAAAAGACGGCACCAAGCGCTGCCGAGGGTCCGGCTTCTCCATCTGCGCTGCCCCCTCGTTTAGGAGCGAGCTGGCTGGGATCAGAGGCGCTTGGTTCGTCGAGTCGTCGGCTGGAGTGCAAAGGTTTTGCTTGCTCGAAGCATCGTGAATGCAGTTCTGTAGGCAGAAGCGGGAGTAGTCCGTCGCACTTTCCGCAGACTCGATATCGAGTTCTGCCCTTGCCAAAGCTGTGGCACTGGCAGCTTTGAGATCGTTGCACTCGGCAGGGCAGCTGGAGGCTTCTGCGATGGTGAACAGTGGTGTGCATACTACCGCCGCGTTGGCACTGCCAAGGAAGGAATGGGGATTTGCCACTGTCGCTTCACAGCAGCTGCAAGTGCAAGCGGTGAGCTGGCTCTGGGTCTTCAGCGCAGCCACCGGCAAGATGATGGGAAGCAGGACCTTGAACATAGTTTGGGTAGACGGTTAAAAACAGTTCTTGTCAACACTCCTAAAGTACATAAACAGCCTGAACCGTTGGAGTGCTTATGCTCTCAGGTTTTCCGATTTCGGCGAGCGGGTGAGCAGACGACAAGTTACAAGCGTGGCACAGGGCAAGTGCCAAAAAACAGATTAGGGTTCAGGCTTTCGGGCTGAGGTGTAACATACCAGCAGCACCAATAGAAACAATAGTAGTGATAGGGCGTGCAGAATGTAGAATCAACAGCAGTTGAGTTCACATAAACCGCAGTGATTCCTGAAAAGTCCCAGGTGCTGCCAACATGACTCTGGAGCACGGCATCCCACAGGCTAGTCACCCGGAAGAGTTCTGGATGGCTACAGCTACAATTCAACTGGCACACATCCGAGTCGATGTGCTTGAGCCAAGCATCGCAACAGTGTCAAACTGCTCATTTCCGCATGGCTCACACGAAGCAGCAGGACCTTTAGGTGAAATCCGTGCGTTCGCTTGTCGTGCATGTGGGACTATGAATCTGCGTGTGCTTTCCCTGTCTCCCCTGCGGAAGGCAACCTAAGCCCTAAACCCTAAACCCATCTCCTTTTAACCACTGTTGGCCAGGACCCAAGGTTTTTGGGCAAAGCCCATCAGATTCTCCACTCCGGAGAAGCTGATTCTCAGGCACTAACAGTCAGCAGCCAAAGGCGCTGCGAAGTCGCGTTTGAAAGCCAGCCGAGTGGCGAAGGGCACGATCGGAAATAATTCCGACTGCACCTTACGTACAATTGTAGGGATTTTCCGTACTATAACGATAAACAGGACCCCCCAAAAAAACAAAATAGTATTGGTATTTATTCTGGCCCCTATATCACACACTTGCTTGCTCTCTTGCATTCCACTCCACGGTCCCAGGGTGGAAACTCTACCGAGTCGCCGAAAGGTGAGCTCACCTCCTCGGCAACAGCCGAAGCTTCACGAACCCCAAAACCTTGAACCCTAACCTTCTAACCAGGAACCATAGATTTCTAAACCCCTTAAGCCCTAGACTGCCCTAGACCCTAAACCTTAAACCCTAAGCCCTCAACTTCTTTAACCCTGAACCCTAAATTTGTTAAGCACTTCGGCCCCAGGCCCTAAACTCTAAACCCTGAGTGACACTTGTTGCACTGTACACATCCTGTAGCCAACAGCGCGAGGCAGCTTCCCTGAGGCTCCTCATACCCTGTTTAAGTTTAGGGTTTAGGGTTCAGGATTTGGGGTTTAGGGATAGCCTGTTTAGGTGTAGGGTTTTAAGGCTTTAGGGCTTTAGGGCTTTAAGGCTTTGGGGTTTAGGGCTTTAAGGCTTTAAGGTTTTAGGGCTTTAAGGCTTTAAGGCCTTAGGGTCTAGGGCTTTAAGGCTTTACGGTTTGGGGCTTGAAGGCTTTAGGGTTTAGGGCTTTAGGGCTTTAGGGTTTAGGGCGTTTTCAGGCTTTAGGGTTTAGGGCTTTTTCAGGCTTTAGGGTTTAGGGCTTTAAGGCTTTAGGGTTCAGGGCTTTATAAGGCTTTAGGGTTTAGGGCTTTAAGGCTTTAGGGCTTTATAAGGCTTTAGGGTTTAGGGCTTTATAAGGCTTTAGGGTTAAGGGATTTAAGGCTTTAGGGTTTAGGGCTTTGTAAGGCTTTAGGGCTTTAGGATCTTAGTTTGTCGTCGTTGTTGCTTCTTTGTTGTAACCCTAAGGCTGGAAGCACTCGTTTTGTAAGGCTTTCGGGCCCAAAGACCAAACTATATCAGATTTTTTGGCTCTTTTGAGCTGTAGTAACTTTAAAGTAATGGATCCAAAATAACCCATGAAGCTATATCGGTTCCTTATTCACTGCATGCCTCAGTACGGAATGCCAGTCTACGTCAAGGGTTCTTTATAGCACAGAGACTGGAGTCTCGGGGCAGCCGGATCTTGGCACCCTAAGACTCCAAGACTGCCAACAGCCCAAAGTAGAAACTGTCTATAGACAGTAGACCGCAATGAAAGGTACTATTTGGATAGTAGGAGAGTCTTAGGGGTATGCAAAGTGGCAAGTCAGAGGCATTCGCCCACCAACTTGGCAAAGAAGTGCAAGTAGCGAACCGCGCAGGCCTCTTGCTGAGGACACATGTGGCAAGCGCAGTGAGGTGGAAGGGAAGCTTGCAGGCTTTAGGGTTTAGAGTTTATGCTTCAAAATGCAAACAAGACACATTACTTTCTGATGACCGGAACTCCCAGGTTTAGCAAAGAAAAAGCAAACAGCCTCGAGCAGCTCTTTCATCGGAAGAAGGTCCTAAACCCCAAAACCCTAAACCCTGGGGAGCAGGCTGCTAGTATCGCAGCACCACATCATTCTCCTCATCGGGATTCGCTTCTGCCACCTTGCAAGATTTAGTTAGGGTTTAGGGTTTAGGGTTGAGAGTTTAGGGTTTAGGGGTCAAGGGTTCAGCTTCTTTTCGGAGCGTTTAAGCAGTGCACTTTCAAGCCTGACAAACTGACAGGTCAGCTGAGTGCCTAAGCCTTCGCCGGAAAACCCCGAGGCACCAAATGAACTTCATTCGATTGATTATCTTGTGCTGTGGATCCATGCTTGTGCATGTGCGCATGCATGGCCGTACTACAATGCGAACTTCTCTGTGTATGAAGACTCCAACCCCGCAAGAACTGGAAGTCCTGCACACGAGACTCCATAATACATCAGCCGGTGTGAAGCCACACAGAGGCTGCCAGAAACACTGAGCAATCTCCTTTTCTACATTACACGGTCGGTTGCTAGCCAGGTTCAGTGTTGAAACGGATGTATCTATCGATTTTTCTAATTAAATCCATCTATACGTACGTACGGCATGCAACCCCTCGCCACTGGTTGAACAAAACGAGGCTGGCAGAAGCACTGAGCAATGCCACCCATCGCTGGGATTGTGGAGGCTGGGTTTGCGGCTTAGGGTTAGGCCCGAGACCCGAAACCCCAAAAACCCCAAACCCTGCACCCCAAAAAGCCGAACCCTACATCCTTTTTTACACCTGGACTATGCATATGCCAGGAACCGAGGCGCCGACTGTGCTGTGGACTCGTGCCACACGCTACATCCTAAACCCTAAACCCTAGCCTGGGATTCATGTCTGGCTCCTCTTCAACCTTCAACCCCCATGTCCAAGCCCACGGAGCTTGGAGCCTGGCACTATTCGGGCTTCTAGTGCTAAGGGTTTAGGTTTAGGGCTTAGGGGTTTAGAGTTTAGGGGTTTAGGGTTCAGGGGCGATTTTATCAGATCTGGCTCCAAATACACCGTCAATCCTATCAGCTGCAAGCCCCGTCAAGCCTAAGCCTTACCCCACAAGCCCTAAGCCCACAACGCCAGGAGGTCGACACTGTTGATGATCTAAATCCTGCATTACCTTAAGGATCCTAAGCTATGGGAATTATGGTATATTCCTTATTATGGGTAATGCAGGATTTTGATCATCAACCGCACCTCCCAGGATTTGCCAGCCCCCTTCACCACAGCCCGGGTCTGTGATGTGCCGGGGCCACCTGGATCTAAGGCTTTGGTGCCAAAAAAATCCAAAGTTATAGGGTTGCTGTTGGGGTTAGCATAGCTTTGGGCTTGAGTCTTCTTTATATCATAAGGGTTGCTATTTGGGGTTACTGCTGCGTTGGGGTTCAGGCCTATCTAAATCACAAGGATTGCGAATGATGTGTTTAGATTTACGAATTAAGGTTTGAGGTTGGCACATTGCAAGGTTCAATCTCCCGATTTCCGGTTCTCAGAGCTTTGGGTTGAAGGTTCCGTGTAAAAAGCGGAAGCAGCTGGCTTCGTCGCACACAGCATAATCCAAGCAGCCCTCATATTTCCCTCTGAAACTGACACCCTCATCGGAAGCCCTACAGAACCACCCCTAAACCCTAAACCCCAAAACCGTGATCGTGGTCAGCAGGCTGGCCTTTTCCAGGTACGCGGCGCCAAGCAAATCCAGGTCCCCCTGCGCTGGCCAGCCAAACAGCCTCGTCCATCGGCAAGCTAGTCCTCGGCTACAAGAGATATTACAAGGCTTGCCATAACGGCTTTCGATCTTTTGGGTTTCCGGGACGGGGCGCCAGGGTCTACAAAGCTGATAGCTGAGGCAATAAGACATGAATGAGTATACCGAAGCAAGGTGAACTATAACTGTGATTTCCAAACTCTACGCAACATGTGCCTGGCTAAAGCAAACATTGGTATCCCCTAAAGCTTCGAATACCTGGGAAAATAGCTTAATACTTCGCTATTCCATGTTCCAACTTATGTCTTCCACTACTTCGTAGTTGAAACAAAACCAGGAGACATGGTTTCAACATCACTGCGCTTTTCTGAGGACAGCCGGTTATACCTTGATGCAAGCAATATAGGAACCCTTAAACTTAATTCTTCTGAAAAGTTTCCCTACACCCTGAACTATAGTTAGATGCTGCTCAGACTCGGCGGCTGAAGAAAATACTTGCCGCTACCCCATTCCAGACACTGCTTTGTCACGTTCCATCTCAAGCTGAAAGGTCTGCGCTGAACGCCGCTGCGCTGTCGCTGGTGCCGAACTACGTCCAGGCCATGCACCTGAAACGTAACGATAGCTACGGGGACGGAGTTTCGGATTCCAAAGGATGAGTTCGTCTCAAGAGTCTGTAAGAAGACCATGCATCTGAAATTAGGCAGCTCACAACAGTCTTTACACCTGCATACGGGAAGAACACTGCGAATACTGAGCAGGTATGCCATAACGGCCATAGCGTGGTAGCCTTGCTACATGTCCTGCTTTGTGTTCATATTAACTGTGTGCTACATATACTGTAGGTGAACATCGCCAAGCTCCAATGTCCTCCAAGCAACAACGTAGGTTTCCGAGGAGTCTCGCTGACTTTCCCAATGGCCCTGGAGTGCCGACACCACGAACCTCAGTCAGATGTTCCTACAGCCGGAACAGGCGACTTCCTTGGTTCCGCCTAACTTACCAAATAACAAGTCTCGAAGCGACGTGTCTTTTCTGCCTTGACTCGACGAGAATACATGGATGTCCGGTTGCCAGGTCCAAAGAAAAACCTAGACTTCAAACCCTGATGCCTAAACCCTAAAGCCTAAACCTGTGTCCATGCAAGCAACCGAGCACCCTCGGCTTCGGGCGATGGCTGTGACGGCTTGGCTTGCCCCTTCCCTGGGCTCTTGTTCCGGAACGTAACATATAAATAGCTCTAACTACAACTAGTTAGACTTGCTAACAAGTTGTCGATTGCATATCAACTCAAAAGTTCCGCTACAGGAGCCAAGTTTCCCGTCTCGGCTGGCCACCTTGAATAGCCAGCTTTCCCGTCCTTTCCTTCGACAGGGCATTGGGTTCAGGGTTGAAGATTTGAGTTTCGCGGCCGCGGTTCAGGGTCGCGGGTGCCCTGGCAGCCCAGAAGCAGGCCAAGCATCTAACATAATATAGCGGCTTCATTAGTTGAAAGGGGGTTTTGTGGCATTTCTATACGATGATTACAATAAGGAGCCCCAAAATAGCACTGGCAGTGATTGAGGCCTCCATAGTAGAGTGCCAACAGGGACCGGACATTACGTCCACCTACTTGGCTTTGCCACGTCCGATAACCTCCCTATACAGACTCGAGAGCGATCCAAGTCACCGTGCTTTCCAGCATTTGAAGCTCTGCCTTCCTCTAGATCTCTTTTGTCCTGCTGCATGCACCGCAGTCAGCTGAGAGGTGCTGAAACATTTGAAGGCAAGAATGACATCCAGGGTGTTCACTTTTGGTTCGGATTCAGGGCTCAGACATACAGCCCGACAAGCTTGGGCAGAAGGCTCAGGTTGCTTGCGCAGTATCCCTCAGCCGGATTCGCAAATTGCAAGCTGCATGAGGTACATGGGTTAAAGCACTCAACCATGCTACTTCATCTGCCCGACGAGCTCTGAACAAGTTTCTCAAAACTTTCTAGTTCTTGAAACTTTTAGAGCCATGAGCCTAAACCCTGATGTTTGTACCCGACCCTAAACCCTAAACCGCTACATAACCCTTTTAGTAACGCTTAGACTGTATAGAACCCAAACAAAATGGCAACCCTTCTAGAAACACTCAGGCACCCTAATCTTATACAGAACCCTTATAGAATCCATATAGTAAGCGTTAGTAGCCCTAGAACCTTAAACCCTAAACCGTAGACTTACACAGCTCTCGACCTAAGGCATCCCTGAACCCTTCTGGTCCTTGGGGTCCTGTAGCTTCTGTGCCTGGCCGGAGCCATGGCGAGGACTCGGAGTGCTCGCCTTGGTCCCTACTACGATGAAGTTGTATCCGTCTTCGGACCCCTAAGCCCTAATTAAATCCTTTGAAACCCTCGACCCTAAACCCTAAACAAACCCTTAAAGACCCCTAAACCCTAAACACACCCCTAAACCCCTAAAGCCACCCAACAAAAACCCTCTACCTCCCTTAAAAGCCCCTAAAACCCTAAGCTGACCAAGTCGCCTTGCTGCCATCCTTCTTCGGCTCCCCGAGTCGAAGGCCGCTTACCAGAGGGGTCCTCGGCAACTTGGATGTTGGAGGGCTTAGGGTTTAGGGCTTTTTTGGGGCTCCGGGCTTGGATCCTGGATTTACGGGCCTTACGAGCTGGGATGTGGATTTGGAGGTTTCAGGGTCGCCTATGGTGCCTGGAATCTTAACCGCAAGATGTTGCAGAAGACTAGGAACAGTGCTGCTGGGAATGAGAAGGAAATTCAGGCCTCAACAACGTGCTGAGACCTTAAACAAAGAGGGCTCGTTTTGTTCGATTGGGTTCGCGATTACCAAAGCTCTGGTAGCAGTGGTAGCTATGATTTCCTATTAGCTCCTCTCACCTGGCTTCTTGGAAGGTGACGAACAATGGGGATAGGCTCCCACCCCGCACACAGGACGAGGTGCTGGCGAATCTACCCTTCAGAAACGAATGTCTGTTCGCCTACTCAACATGGAGAGCTTCAGCAGCTTGGAAGTTGATGTGGAAGAACCAATGTTCAACAACCTCTCTAACAGCAAACGTGTTCTCCTCTGCGACTTTGGATTGCGAAGCAAGAAATACCACTGCTGCTTGCACCATGTGGCTCCTTCTAAGCCACAAGCTCCCTTCACACTTTCACACTACAACGGGGGCAGGATAAATTGAGACGCAAAGCGAGGACTCTCAATCCTGTTTTGGATTCCTTACAACTGCCTTCAAACAACACACATGGCTTTCCGCTTTCCCAGCTGTACAGGATGCCTCCAATTACCTCTGGTTGACTGGACCTCAAGGCCTAAACCCAATCCACCCCGCAAGCGCGAGAGCCTGGAAGCATCCTCACACCTGCATACCGTGAACCCAGACCCCTCGGCCCCCGATTCCCCAAACCCCCGGAGCAAATTCGACTCGGCCAGGCCGCAGTGGGCAGTGCATCTTCTCATTCTTCGACTCTGCAATGGCATTCCACATCTTCTGGTCATTGACTAGAATCCTGGTTCTTCAGGATAGAGGGCTCAGGGCTCTACATTTGGCTACGAACCCTAAGCCCTAAACCGTAGCTGCTGTATGGCCAAGATAGGGGCTGAGGACTGACGGAGCTCAAACCGTGCGGGCTTTAGGCTTCATTCTGACATTTTCTGGCGCAATTCAAGAGTGAGGGGGGGGGGGGGACTTCTCAATTTTTGCACAGACTTGTACATGCCCAATGAACTCTGTAAACCCTTGTTAGGACTCTTGGGATGGCCGGAGCAGGATCCCGTCGATGCGTTGAGTTGTGAGAACCTTTTTAAGGCATCAGGATTGAACAGCCGAGCGGTCACGAAGCAGCCGAGGAGGTGAATCCAGCGGCTGGACATCTTGGATCTAATTTCTCACAATCTTCCGCACCCTAACCAAGCCTGAAATCCCTATAACCTCGAACCCAAACCTAACACCCTCAACCCTTAAACAGTAATTTAATGCCTGCTGCATATCACGGGCTCAGGTGACATCCCGCAGGGGAAAGAATTTGGCTGCGGGGGTTTAGGACTTAGGGCCTGGGGATGCTATTGTAGTTTCATTTTTCCGGATATCTCGGTTGCTAGTACAGCATTCTGACCATACAACTTGGAGAACACACAACAACTACGACACAGACTATAAGCCTGTAGATAGAGCTTTGAATTTTGGAGCGCTTTTGGGAACGTACGGTAGCAACGACCGCAAGATGACTTGACAGCACGCGGAAGGGTTTTCATGACCCAGCACTCGGTGTGTCTGCTGGATCAAAACCCGTGAATCCAGAACCTTGCGACAAAGATCTTGAGCCCGAAAAGCTTTGCCATCCCTTCAGTTTCGAACCATAAACATCGCGAAACCCTTCATGTGAGATTTTCACCTTGCCGCGGAACCTAATATTTAATACTATATATAGAGCTCACGTTCTCGGTACTAGGATCCTATCCCGATGTTACGGGTGCCCCAAAATATGCATCCCTCATGATAAGAAACCTCCACAACCATGCCAAACACACAAAAAGCAAGAAGCCTTACAATGCCCCATGGGACCACGTATACACCCCTCCGCTTTGTAAGGAAGGCGACATCCCTCGCCCACAGCGCCGGTCGACGATGGCTTGCAGCTGTTGGCGTGCATCCTTGTTGCCAGACAAGCCCGCCTGGCATTCTAGGGCTTCTGGTTTCAGGGTTTAGCACTTTAGGATTAGGGTTTATAGGGTTGTGGTTTGCGGAGAAGAATAGGGTTGAGCCTTCTGCATTTCCACGGTTTGACACAGATGGTTTCCACGAAGCCGAATACCACCTGCTTTAAAACATATACCCCAAATTATTACGTTGTGGGTCCCTTAGAACTGACGGGGCGTTCCCCGTTTCGACAGTTTGCGATCTCCACACAAAAGCGTTTCTGGTGTGAAAGTAGAACAGGGAGCAGACGCATTATGGCTAGTTTCACGTATACCAGATAACCGAAGCTACACGACCACAGTTTACCATCATGAAACTAATCGTCGTCATCACGGTCGTCGTGCGTCAACGTTGGCGTGATTGTGCGAAATGCGCTGGTAGTAGTAGTCGTAGTAGTCGTCGTCGTCGCAGCAGCATCAGCAGTAGTTGTGGTGGTAGTAGTAGTAGTAGTAGTAGTAGTAGTGGTAGTAGTAGTAGCAGCAGCAGTAGAAGCAGCAGTGGCAGTAGCAGTAGCAGTAGCAGTAGCAGTAGCAGTAGCAGTAGCAGTAGCAGTAGTAGGAGCAGTAGCAGTAGTAGGAGCAGTAGCAGTAGCAGCAGTAG